GCTCTGTTGCTGGCTGCTATTGCTGGCTGCTGTTGCTGCTGCTGTCTGCTTGCTGGCTGCTCCTCGTCGTTTTTGGGGTGCCGTGCATGACATTTTTACACACCTTTTTGGGCCTGGGTTTTGCGTTCGTCTGGCTTTTCAACCTTTTTATCCACCGCCATTTCCAACCTCATTTGCAGGGGGGAGAGACAACGTACCCAAACCGAACCAAACCTACTTCTCCCTCGTCCGGTTTGCAACTTTACCTTTTTGGTTCATCTTACCAGTTCGCACTCTATCTCCAACACGACAACGTCCATCGCAATTTATATACCAACTACCGCCCGCCGCCCTCTACTCTTCCGACAGGCAAAGGAGGGAAGGCATTCGATTCCTCCGCCATCTTCCATCGCATACGTACGCTGCGGCGCGCTGCGCACGAGTCGGACGACTGAAACGAAACAGACACACGCGCGCTCACGCATTGGAACAGCTGGCCTAGCTGTCCAAACACGTACCCGCACCACGGTATCATAACGCATCACAGCAGCAGCAGCAGCAGCAGCCTTCTTCGACCTGGAGTCGAGATCCAAACACATTGCCCTCCCTCCACCTCTGATTCACCTCCGAATCTCTACTACAACTCTCGACTGCTACCTTGAGTGTGTGTGGTTACCTGTCACTGTGGTCTCTTTCCTGCCGTTTCCATCTCGGCTTCGCAACCCCGCCAGCCGTTCTCGGCACCCCACCTTATCGCAGCAAAGCCGCTATTTTTCGCCTGGGCGATTTCTTGGTGAACAGTGTATCCGTAGAGCCAGCCCCCAACCAGCAAACCTACCACAGGCGGAAAAAAGGGAAGCGTCGTCATCGGTGCTAAACTCACTCCGAAAACCCACCGACCCGGCCGGCTTGATTGAATCTCGCCCATCCTCAACAACCAACCACTCGTCCACAATCTCGATACTGCAACCATGGCTGCAGTAGCTGCACACGATACGCCTGAGGAGCATCAGAGCGATGGCTCAAAGCTCAAGACCTTTATTGGTATTCTGAAGAAGTGAGTCTATCCCGTGTTGGATCTCCGCCTGGCGGTCTGTCTTGCATACGCCGTTTTGGGAATCAGGAGTCGAGCTTCTCTGCCTCACGGGCGGGGTGCGCTGGCTGATGAGCGATGATCCCTGAAGGGGTGAAAAGCGATCAAAAGCGATCGTCACCACAGTAGACTTTGAGGAATCTAGAGCCAGACGAGACAAGAACCCTCAAAAGGCGGACTTCTAACTGACCTGCCGCCTTCTTCTTCTAGGTTCATTGGTGTTGCCGACCTTGCTGCCGTTCGCTTCTCTCTCCCGTCCCAACTTCTCGAGCCGACGCCGAACCTCGAATACTGGAACTACCTCGATGCGCCCAACGCCTTTGTCGCTATCGGTACCGCAGACGAACCCCTCGACCGCATGCTCGAGGTCTGCCGGTTCTGGTTCACAAAGGATATAAAGTACGTCAAGGGAAAGCCTTGCAAACCCTACAACTCGTGCTTGGGAGAGTTCTTTAGGGTGAGTTGCCGCCAGCCCTTTGTTTGCGCAACATGCGCCTGTCATGGCTTGTGATGCTGATTGAGGACGTGACAAGTGTAATTGGGAAACCGAAGATAATGCCCCCAAGATCAACACTACAGCCCTCGGCAGCGGCACGGGCAGCAGCTCATCCAGCTTCAAGTCCGCCAAGGTAGACCAGAACGCCTCGGCCGTTTCCCTCTCCGTCCCGCAGCACGGCAGCGCGACACTCGAGAGCAAGCCCCTCCGTATCTCATATCTCACCGAGCAGACCTCCCACCACCCCCCCGTCAGCGCATTCCACATTAGCTGTCCCGAGCGGGGGCTCTCCGCCCGCGGCTTCGACCAGATCACGGCAAAGTTCACGGGGACTAGTGTTCGCGTGTTGCCTGGCGAGCACAACCTTGGCATCTTTGTCACGCTCGAGAAGCGTGGCGGCGAGACGTATCGTCTCACGCACCCCGCGGCGCATCTCGGCGGCATCCTCAGGGGAAGCTTGAGCGTCAGCGTCAGTGAAATGGCGTACATTACGTGCCCGCAGACCAAGCTAAAGACGATCCTGCACTACATTGAGGCTGGGTGGCTCGGCCGCTCTACGAACCGCGTCGAGGGTATCATCTTCAAGTACGACCCCGAAAACGATGACAAGGTCAACATCAAGGACGTCCCTGAGGCCGACATTGTCGCTCGTCTCAGCGGTCCGTGGCGCGAGAAGATTGAGTTTACCCTCGGCCCTAAGCCACTGGTAAGCACCACTTCCTCCCCTTCTTTCCCCTTCATCCCCACCTGCCACAGCAATACTCATGGGGATACATAGAACTCTCACCCTGCAGACGCCCGCTACACAATCATCGATCTCGCACCCCTCAACGTAGCGCCCAAGGTGCTCCCCCCGAAGGAGAAGCAGCTCGAGAACGAGTCCCTGACGATGTGGGGTGGCGTCACCGAAGCCATCCACGCGAAGCAGTTTTCCAAGGCGACGCAGGTCAAGGTCGAGCTCGAGGAGCGGCAGCGAGAGCTTGCGCGTGAGCGCGAGCGCACAGGCGAAGTCTTCAAGCCCGCCTTCTTCGAGCAGGTGACGGACACGGGCGGCAAGCCCGAGTTGACGGAGAAGGGAAGGGAGGTGCTCGCGAGGGCGCAGAAGGGGGAGTGGGACATGAGTGACATCATTGTTGAAGAAGCTCCGGCGAGCAAGTAAACGCCGGATGGGGGAGAAATTAACTGGATTAGAAGGCATATTGAGCGCCTGGGAGTTGCATCGGGCCATTCCTCGTTTCTTTCTTGGACCTCTTTCCCTCTCCTGTTGCCTCTTGTTGGGTTTTCTGGATTGTTTGGCTCTGTTGACTATTGACCTTTACCTGAAGAGCTGATGGCATGACTGTCATATCGGTTTCCGGTATTTGAAGGATGCATCGTTCATTTGCTTTTACATGTTTTTAACTCGGTGTTGCAAGTTTCTTTACTCATCATCCCTCGCTTGAAGAATTCTCGCATGCATCATGAGGGCTGGAGGTTTTGCGTCGTATTTGCGCAGAGGGGAGCAGAGGGGAGAGGACTTTGTATTGTTCACTTTTGGTGAAACATTGCACTCTACATTATACATTCACACAAACAGACACACACAAGCCTTCTATCGAAAGGCGGCGTTGGGATACTAGATGGTGTTTTTTTTGCTTCCAGTTCTATAGTAATCTACTCGATCAACACTATCTCGTGAGGCTTGGAGGCTTTCGCTTTGGTGAATTCTACGGTTATAAGAAGGTTGAGTTTGCAAGAACAGCTTGACTTCTCGATGTTGCCTGAACGTCAGGGGCAGACACAAGGTTTATAGGAGCGGTCGGTCCATGCTTTGTGATGAGATGAGCGTTTTTAAGGTTAAAAGGCCAGAAAAGAAACCTTCCATCCGATCAAGCATTTCATCAATAAGTGGAGGGATAGTATTGGGGTTAAAAAGGCAATTCTTGAGATGAGTAGTCTCAACCTTGCCAAGTGCTTATAACTCTCTTTTTCTTTTCTTCTCTTTCAAGAAGAACTCTATCATTATTGACGGGGCACGGGAAAACCTTGCTCGTGTGGGGTTGGGACGGCAGTTTCGGGTGGCGGAGGGGAACGTCGTGGTTGTGCGCCGAGTGTAACCAGGCTCGGTGCGGCTCGCCCCCGCGTCTGGAAGGGGGGAATTCGGGGGGGGGGGGGGGGGGGGGGGGGGGGGGGGGGGGGGGGGGGGGGGTGGGGGGGGGGGGGGGGGGGGGGGGGCCGGGGGGGGGGGGGGGGGGCGGGGGGGGGGGGGGGGGGGGGGGGGGGGGGGGGGGGGGGTGTGGGTAGCTTGAGGACGTCGGTTTTGGTGGCTCCGGCCGGACTTCAAGGCATAGATACTTGGCACTACATGATACGCGGAGCTGCTGAGACTCGCTTCGATAGCACTGCCATGAAATATCATGACTGGAGTATTCTAAACCACGTAGTGCGATGATTGCTCGTGGAATACAAGGTTTGGGTTATTCCGTTCTGTGCCGAATGGGCTACTACTTTATCTGGAAGAGTGATACGGCGATCCTGCTACAGATTCACAATTTGCTGTATGCGGGAGGATTCGAGACCGAGTATTGTGTCGGCGGTCTGCAATGGAAAAAGAGGAAGAAGAAAGGTATCAACATGGGATTTGTGACGTTCCCATCCGCTTCTGTGGTCCGCCTACCCGGCATCACCCAGCGCAGATTATCACCCCTTTGACGCGCATTTTCGATATTGAAGTTGGCCATAATCCTTTGCAGTGATCGAGACCGGGGGAAGAGTGCATTCGTCTGCTTCTTCGCAATGAAGATTCTGCTTCAGATCAAGGATGATATTTAAAGCTGACCTCATCTAACAAGGGGATGTAGTGGGCTTCTTGCCTCCTCGTTGCAACTACTGCTGCAAGATGGTTCCAATATGAATCAAAGATGTCTGAGAAGTGACAATAGATAATGATTCGAGCAGCATGGCTTTGTCGATTGACCGATACAATGGAGATCAACTTATCTTAAAGGAGAGGACAACCAATCTGTTTACAAGACTACAAAGGCCAATGTCGCTGGTTCACTTTTGAAAGGGTTTTGAAGACGACGATGAAACGATACATAGAGCTGAGGAAATCCAACGACGTGAAGTTTACAGATTCCTACAACGCCATCGTCTTCTCAGGTAATGACATAGATCAACATTCATTTCAATATCCCCGTTTGCATAACGACTTCTAACTCATCAGGACAGGCTGCCGAGTTCACTTCACCTTTGCTTCACCTTCGACTTCACACTTTGGTTCCACCTCCGCATTCTCGTCTTTTCGTCACAAACTTCACTTTCTGCTCGTCAAGATCTTGTCTTTCTCCCAGCCGCCGATCCGCAGACACTTGCTACAACAAGTCTTTTCAGTCTGGATTCTTCCAAACTCTCCGTCTAATACAGCTTGGAATCCGAATTCACTTCTAGATCATGGCTGATCAATCTCAGAACCAGGAACTGGCTGCTGTCAACGGTTCCAACCAACTCAAGCAATCGGCCATCCCCTTGGAGCTCTTCCTCGAAATTGCTGAGCACTATGTTGACTTCGCGTACGCCAGGGCGGCAACCGACATCTCGACATGGCGAGTCGAAGGGTGCCCAGACGCCCTCCACCCAATCTACATCTCCGACAACCAAGCCTACGACTACGCCTCCCAAGTGAAACGCTGGCAGCTCGTCAGCACCCTCACCAACCTGTGCAGCAAACGCGTCTCCGACATCGTCCACAAGACGTTCTGCCGATTCCCCCGTCACCATGACACCCGGGACATTGTAGAATGGGCGCAGTGGATGGGGCTGGCAGTCGACCCTCCCAAACACGCCTGGGTCCTCCCAGAGATTGACATCTTTGTCCTCGACTTCAAATCGACACGGTACAAGGAGGACGGCGAGAGCCTCGAGCCCCTCGAGAGGGCGATCCTGCAGCACCGCCCGACAGGGGAGGCCGCAAGGGCCCTGGGCCTCATCCAGAACGCCATGTGCAGCCTGGGCAGCCTGATGGCGGCGACCGAGACGCAGATCCGCGCCCTCGCCTCCCTCCCGAACCTCAAGCGCATCCAGACGTGGTGCCCGATCCAGAGCCCCGCGCTGCCCAACGAGCCGCACGACCATAGGGGGATATTACTCGTCGACCCAGGAATCTTGCCTGATCTTGCTGCGGAGATTGCGGTGAGCGAGGTGCGCCTCGTGTCGATGTGGGAGCCTCTCTTTGAGGCTGGTGTTCAGATTACCGTTCAGCCTCGTTATGCTTTGCGAGGAGAGATTGAGCTCGTCCGCACTGTTGGCGGTCTGCACATGAAGTTTCTCAGGGACGAGTGTAAGTGCTATCGGATGGAACTGGATGCGTGATTGGAGCTCACGGCCACTGTACGTCCAAGTCTTTGGAACTAGCTTGGCGTCTGCGAGCATTGTTCACATTGGCATTAATAGTTGGTGTAAAGGGGAGGTTTAGCTAGCGGCTAGGCCTCGGTGCTATGTGAGATACCCCTACTTTTGTGGCCGATCCTTCCGTCCCCTGACTCCTATTCTAATAATTTAAGAAAGCTTTCGGTTTGATTCGAGAACGGCTAGGGTAAGACGTAGAGAACCAACCCAAATACAAGATAAAGTGATAACACCTGCTAAGCTCTGAAAAGACTGAATGTGAAGAATTTCACAGGCGTGCCTGGAACAGTCACCAATCACCGCTTGACAGGTATGTATAGATGTCGATTATTGCTTGCCAAGCACGTCCTCGCGGCCTGGGAATTTGCCTCAAGTATGTGCGTAGTTGTGACTGAAGTCTGGCATGAAGGACATGCATCTCGGAACAGACCCACGCTCATGGTTGCCTGCGGATTGTTCAATGCCCAATTCGTCTGGATCATCTATTTGGGGAGCCTTATGAGAAATTCTGTTTCCCAAGGGACTAGGGATAAAGTTCTTGAAACTCGAACCCCCTCGTAAATTGAGCCGTTTAAGAAAGCACTACAGGATTTTTTTGCGTTAATTTGAGGCTCAACTTAACAGGGAAATTGGATGTTGTTCGGTAAATGAAAACTGCTGCCTGTTTCCATTTAAGCTCCAGGTCCATAGCAGTGACTGAGACGGGTGTAATCGACTGTGTCTCATAACTGGCTCTAGTGAAATGCATCCGCTTGAAGTACAGCAAATATGGCGGTAGTCATTTAAGCAAAGAGTTCGATGGATTTTTCGTTTCAAGCATATTCAACGCGGTTCTCAAGCTTGCTTGTTGAGGAGCGTCGGAGGTGGTAGTCGGCACCGGTGCTCCTTGGTTTGGGGGCTGGAGAACTTCGGGCCGGCTTTTCGGGCGTGCTTCGCTTTGAACTGCTGAACCCCAATGAGCGTATTTCAGATGAAGGCGTAGCTGCTCTGATGGGTGCTTCATGGTAATTGCAAACCAAATCCATACACATCCTTATTCGCGGTGCAGCGACAGGAGTGTAACCGCAGGGGCTTGAAGGGTACTAGACTTTGATCAAAGACTGTCAAGCAACACTGCTTTTCAATTTTCGAGGTACTCAGGGTATGTAGGGTTAGACTTTCCAGTCTACTTTCCCCGTCCGAAGTCAAAATCTCCATAGAAGAGGACATTTAGAAACAGCTTGCTTCGCCTAAATCCTCGGGACCCAACTTGAAAAGTATGATAACGCCACGAACTCTATAGACGTCGCTGTCGTGCGCGATATAGGACCAAAATCCAGAGATCGCACTCCTCTTCTCATAATCAATGCAGCTCGTTTCACCTCTACTAATATTTTCTCTTTTACTTCATTGTCTTCTATCACGTCCCTGTACATCAAACATAACCCCGCGACCCGATTCATTCCATTCCTCGTACGCTCTATCTATACCTGGTATGATTGCATGTACTATGCGCTCGTATCTCAAGCTTCGCAGCATATCAGCGCGGATGAAATGTCGAATTAAAGGTACAACTCTCCCGGGAGGGTTCCTTCCTTATGAACTATGGCTTGAAATTGTCGATGCTATGGTTGACGACTTGGAATCGACAATCAAACCCATCTCCTGGATCTTGAAAGGAATCGAGTCCGAGCAGGGGAACGATGGAATTCACTACCTCCTGCTCGACCAAAGGACACACCTCTGGTTTAACCAAACTGAGTACATTCGGTTTGACAAATCCAACAACTGGAACACGGTGAATTCCATGCGTCGATGCCATGCCCTGGAACCACTGCAAAACCTCATGCTGGTCGACCGCGGGACTCGACAGCTCGTCAACAGACGATTACCACGGTGCAGCTTTTTCCTAGTTGATCCGCATAGAAAATTTGCCGTGCCTAGATACATACGGATCGTTCCCGGCGTTGATCTATTTCGTTACGATATCCACCGCCGCATTCCTCAAATACAGATGGACGCCGTAAGCGCTCTGATCAAACCCTACGAAGACACAGATGCTCTGTTACATGTCCATACGATACTTCTTTCTGCGACAATACTTGAGCCCAATGATGGGCAACTGCTCAAAACCTACTTTCGATACTTGCAGAAGATGCCTAGATTGAAAAACGTTGAATTCAGAGGACTCCTTTCCGACGGCCTACAAAATCCCACCGCCTATTTTGTAGAGAATACTCTGCTATCCTTTTTGGCCAAATGTAATTATGCGGAGAAGGATGAGATTGTTTCGATATGGAGGCCGCTCAGAGACCGAGGGGTAAAGTTCACCGTTAATCTTTCCGCGCCTTTCTAGTCTGTGTATGGTAGCCTTCAGATTCTGACTGAGTAATTCGTCTCAACCATGGGCTCGTCTTGAAGATTTCTGGAAAACGAGGTGCTTTCTTCCTTTCTTTATGGGGTTCACCTTTGCAGAACGGAACGGGTGGTGAAGCTAGATATTGGAGAAAACGGATCGGGTATGACATCAAAGAAGTCAAAGTAATTAAAATGTAAAAGCATACTTGAAAATGTTGATAATATGTGCTTCCAAATAATGCAGTGCGTATCTGCTCTTGAGCCTAGGTGATCTGGGCGGTAACTTGAGCCTGCCATGGAATCTGGAGTTCGAGACGAGCAAGCTTGACTGAGAAGATATCAACATAGGCTAGAACGGCGCAATTACTCGGAATCCTAGTAGCATCCAAAGCAACTTGGAAAAAAAAAAGCCCTCAATTTATCGCCCTCGCCAAGCTGTTGCCATATGTGTAATACATACAGAGCTCAAACGACTGCTGCCTATGCGGATTTTGACAAACTGAATCTAGATCAAGACTCTTCGCGTCAATGGTCTAGGTCAGACTCGTAGCTACGGGGTGGGGAAGGGGGGAGGAAAAGATGCCTATTCAGCGAAATGAACAACTGGTTAATAAAATAATCGATGTGAGATCCGGGCGAAGCCACTCGATTCAGCCGCACTAGATGGATACCGCTGCCTGCAGGATCACCCGGGATAGTGGCTAGGTCCCTCTCGCGGTTGATTCAGTGTCTACGCGTCTCCTCGCCACTTCGCTTACTGAACACTGATTTGGATTCAAGATTGGGATGCCCGTGAGGTGACTGGCGGTGGAGTTGTACCTGACTCGCCGGGTCTTTGAAGACCCGAAGTTGCGGAGAGGCCAGAAGCGGAAGTGTTTTTGGACAGCAGAGCTCTGGAGTTTTTGGAGCTCATGTACGAGAAACAGCCCAAATCCATGTGTATAGATTTCCGTAGGATCAGTAAAAAAGCCAAGTTGGAAGCAAAACGAGGAGCTCAGATAAACGACGGTGGTTTCCACATTGACCAACTGGTCGGCCAACCGGGTTCATCGGGGAAGCAGTCGAATCGACGAGGACTGTGCGAGTTGCAAAAGGAGATCGTGCTGGATAAATGGAGACTTGTCGAAGCGAAGAGGCAGAGAGGGGCAAAGTGACACCTTGGCTAAACTCTGTGCCGGCGGGATGTAACCAGGGTGAGTCCGGCCATGTTGATTTCGCATTCTCGGAGGCCCACTTTGGCGATACCATAAAGAACGGCATATGGAGGACGTGGTGGAACTCGACATGGACGGAGAGATTTTGCTATCCACAACAGTCAACTCTAAACAGCTCAGTTGAGAGATTTGTCGAGGTGGTATGAGAAGTACACGTGCGAGGGGGAGAGACATCAGACGAACTAGTGTAGGGAAAGGTCTGGGCCAGGTTTTTGCATGACACGAACCACATCCATCTCAACCAGTACCGAGAAGCCGAATCCAACGGCGTGGGAGCGTGGGAATGTGGGAACTCCAGCCAGGCCCGTGCAAGCCTTTGCTGCCGTCACGTCCAAGCCTCGGCGCCTGACAAAGACATTCATCGTTCGGCGGGGTTGGTTCGACCCAAAAGGAGCGAAAGGAAGGGAGGGAGAGAAGGAAGCAAGGAGGTTAAAAAGGAGGCCCAGGGCCCTGGCTCTGTCCGACGATGTGGTCTATGGCTTCTATCAGTGACAAAGTGGTTGGCTGCTTCTAGTGCTGTTCCAGAGCGATCCAGAGCGAAAAGCACCGACAAAGACTTTGTGTATTTTACCCCTGAATGGAACGCAACCGAAGCTAGAGTTTGAAGTTGTTTGACGAGGGAACAAAAAAGCATCGTGCAATGGTTGATTGGCTATACCCCGCACCAGCAGTTCTCGCCCAGAAAGCAGTGGCTGCCTTCCATGACGCCTTTTTATCCCACTTGACGGGATGATCGAAGCATAATTAATGATGTCCGCTCGGTTGCAACTTCATTAATTAGACGAGAAGAGAGTGTCAGAGAAAGAAATGATAGGTGGGGTGCTCCGACTAGTGCGAGGCGAACGAAACCAAGTAGGGTTCCTCGCACAGGTTGACAGGTTGGGTTCTCACTTTTTCCAATGCACCCTCGGACACCGAGTCAACAGAGGAGTTGGATAAGGCGGGAAGAAAGAGTCAGAGAGTACCGCAGTAAGGGAGAGTCTCAGACATGAGCGAAAGAGAGGAAAAGATGATGTGGGGGACTGGGAGTTAAGGAAGGATACGTAAGTATCGATGAGTTGAAGAGTCGAGAAATCAAATGGCATCCCTGAGCGGATTTCGTTCTGGACCGCTGCCTGGACCACATGCTCGGCCCCACATGGGGTCCCTTCCATTTACCGGCAGCCGCTAAATCCACTGATGTGACATAATCTGGTAGGGCTATCCGTACGTCCCAGAGAAATCCTTGGGAGATCCTGGGGTGGTGGTGTGAGACATGCCGACAGGGGCAAGTTTGTTGGTGCCCGGTCGAATAGAATCCACTCATCTGGGGTCGTTTCCAAGGTCAGCGTATCCACTGATACAACAGACACATTGTGTTTTCCAACTTGCGCGCTTCCGCGGTCTGTTCGTAGCAAAAGAAGGGGAAGAAATTGCTGGACAGACTTTTGGCAATAGTGCTGTTGTGGGGGCGCACTACACTAGATACCAGTTCCTTCCAGGCTCCCCCGATTCCCCTAGTCCTGTCAGGGTGCAAAGGAGATTCGATCATTCGTCAGCGACCTCTCCAAAGAATTGGGAGGATGAGACACCGCGTTTTCCATTTTAATATCTCTGATGTGGAGGCTTGCATACGGGAGATCATCGCTCGTCTCAAGTTGAACACCGCCAGCGGCAAAATATTCCGATATCAGCAGGACCGGGGGCAAACAACTCTAACCAAGTAAACAAGATGCAAAATATATAATATCACGGGTCACTCGTGTCCCCTTCACAATGCTTCTCTGCCTCTCTTCACCCGAAATCGACTTTTTGCGTCCGTCACTCTTTTACACCCTAGCGGTACTCATCGACGCCTGGGCAGGTTCCATCCTCCGTTCACTCCTTCAGATCAAACATTCAAGAATCCCGGTGATTTCCAAATTCCTTTCAAACAAACTATCAAAATGCGTTTCTCCGCGGTTGCTGTTGCCGCTCTCGCCACCCAGGCCGCCGCCTGGAGAGGCCAGGGCTCCCCTTTCGGACTCTACTGGGGCTGGGGTAATGACGGCGTCGAGCCCTGCAACACCGCCGACGACTGCAGCGGCGCCGAGGTGACCTCCACCACCACCATCACCCTCCCTGCTCCCACCGCCACCCCGAGCGTGACCCCCCCGGCCGCCGTCCCCGTCGAGGAGGCCGTCAGCCCCACCCCCTCCGCTGCCCCGACCGCCCCCTCCGCCCCCTCCGGCGGCTCCTCTGGGCTCACCTCGGACCAGAAGGCCGCCCTTGACGCTCATAACGCCGCCCGCTCCGACGTCGGCGTCCCGGCCCTCGAGTGGGACGACACCCTCGCCTCCGACGCCCAGGAGTGGGCTACCCACCTCCTCTCTGTCGGTTCCCTGACGCACTCCCAGGTCTCTGACCAGGGTGAGAACCTGTACATGCAGTCCTACAAAGACAGCCCTTACGTCAACGCCGCCAACGCCTGGATCAGCGAGAAGTCTTCCTACCACGGCGAGGCCATCTCCGAGTCCAACTACATGGCCTTCGGTCACTACACTCAGGCCGTCTGGAGGGGCACCACCAAGGTCGGCATGGCTATTTCCAGCGACGCCCAGAGCACCTACGTCGTCGCCCGTTATTCACCCCCGGGCAATTAGTAAGTTTTGATTCTTTTCATCAGGATAAGGAATTCGTTGGGGAAATAAAAAAGACAGACAACTAAGAAGAGAAACAGCATCGGCGAGAAGCCCTACTAAACGTCGACAAAGGACGCCGCTGCTAGCGCGGGGGTTTTGGGCATGGCAAATGGGATCACGCAGCAACAACAAGGCAGGGAACCTGTTATGGTAGCTACGCTGGCTGGGCCGAACACACCAAACTCTTTTCTTTTCCATTCTTGGACATTTTTTTGTGAACTTGGGGTTGAGATATCTTCCACGACTTGATGTCGGGTCCATTCCAGGTCAAGGCAATCGAGAACGGGAAAAGGGGGTAGATCCTGGGTCATTTTACTTACAAAATCACACGCCCTTTGGCGAATTTCTTGCACGACCAAGACAAGACATGGCGCAAATGCCTCAATATGCAACTCGAGTATATCCCCAGCGATGTCATGTGAGAGTCCGATGATAATTGGGATGTATGGCGTCTGTTAGCTCGGTGAACGCAAAGTCCTTGTTCTTGTTGGGATTGCCGAGTCGCTAGCCGAATTTCCTGACTTTCCGCTTGTCGATGTTCGAAAACAAACCACCTCGGGCTACACAGGTCCTGAGAGAATCCCTTTTTCCGTTACAATGCGTTGTCATATGCTCATAGCTGTTAAGCTTTCGCCTCGGGAAGTGGAGGAACGGTAAGTGGACGAACGGACGGACCCCCGCTCCATCAGACTATGACGATGAATCCCCCAGACTGTCTACCGAAGTGCTTGGATCTAGTCACGGACAATAAATAATCTGGATACCTTAAAAGAGCTTCTTCTTTTTTTAACTTGAGAGTGCAGGATACATACATCAACATCCACTGGTTTCATTTCAAGCAAAGTCTTGCTTCACGAGTAACTTCTACTGATTAGAATACCATCTCGGATTACACTCGCCACGCGATAGCTCCAATCTATTCCACTATCCTATAAGTATCTACCATAAATTAAACACAATGACTTCCTCTGCTAACATTACTTTCGACGGTAAGTCGACTCACCGGGCTTGACTACTCATGATGCGATACTCACGAGCATTCTAGACTACCTCGGGCTGAATGCATGCCTCTTCGAGTGGGCCGACAGCTACGATACAAAGGACTGGGATCGACTTCGCAGGTGCATCGCCCCTAAACTCCGCGTGAGTTCATCACAACTCATGTGATGACAACAATCTAATATCTCATGTTTCAAGATCGACTACCCCTTTCTCGAAAAGGTCTGGGAAGCTATACTCGCGGAAGACTACGTCGCCATGATGAGCAGCAAGTCCATGCTCGGCAGTCCGCTACTCAAGACGCAACACCTGGTCGGCGCAAGTCGCTGGGAAAAGATCTCCGACACCGAGGTCGTGGGCCATCACCAGCTTCGCGTCCCGCACCAAAAGTACACCGATACGACTTTTACCCGGGTCGCCGTCAAAGGCCACGCGCACAGTAGCAACACGCACTGGTATAAAAAGGTCGATGGTGTGTGGAAGTTTGCGGGGCTGAGGCCCAAGATGCACTGGTCCGAGTATGACTTTGAGGCTGTAGTCGCTGAAGGCCGCGACTCGCTTGTGGCTGGGAGGAAGAATAAAGTCTAATAGAAAAAGGATCTCGCAGGACTTTTGTGCGCTTGAAGTTACCTTTGTACACTTCGGGATTCAGTGTAGAAGTAAAGTAGCCAGTGACTGAATGAGGAGGGGTTTCGGGGAAGAGAGATGGCACAGCTGAACCTCTCGAGGGTAGTCCATCGTGAAGCTTCGCTTGATCACTGGGTCAGTCTTTCGCAAATGGAGTCTAGTAATCAGCCAGAAGTATGTAATCCTAAACCGATATCAAATATGAAAATCTCAACCAGTCTCGGGATATGCCCGCTTGGTGTATGCAAAAAATTGACAACTTCTCAACGCCCAACCCCGCGGTCAACCTCAAGGCGATGACTAGCCATAAGAACAGCAGAAAGAAGCCGGCCCAATCACTTTCAGCAACAGATTTTGAACGTTGGAACGCGGCAGTTATAGACATCCAAACAAACATCAAGGTTCGGGACGAGACAAGGGATGGTGAGCAGGAGCCAACACTAAATATTGCACCTCTCAGGACTTCGGAGGGGCCGTCGCTAACCCTGAGGCAACCGAGTCGCCAAGGTTTAGCTGCAAGGAGTCCATAGACCTCATGGTTGTTTGCAAGATAGATCGCGGGCTCGATAGATGAGCATGGGCAAGTGAACTATTCCTTACGGGGAGGTTTTTCGTCCACAATGTATCTTGCAGGTGGACGCTGCTCGTCTCCCTCATGAGGGCATCCTTGAGAAATGAGTGATGTGTACTGGCTATTTCCTAACAGAACGGTATAGACTCGAGGTCGTGGCAAGGACCGGCATAATCTTGCCGAATTCTCTTTCAAGAATTGGACTTCCCGAGTTTCCAAGTCATATGTGACATTGTTCATCAAAAAGCCGCCCTTGCCCATTAGGATGGTGGATGGGAATGGAAATAATCGCGCCATGTATATGCGGGAGAATTTTGTGATATTACAGTTTCTTATGTCGGCAACCGGCATGCCAGCCAGGCCATGAGTTGATATGGTACATCGTAGAGTGGAAAACAGCTATAAAACAAGCCAAGAAGGTCCTTTTCCAGGGGGTTATCGTATCATCTTACACTTTGCGCATGCGCCCCGCCATCATACATCGTCGAGTGTTTCCTCCCTATGATTCTTTTTCATCCAGACGAAGTCATCATTTATTTGGATTTAGGCGTTGACGAAGCCCTTGACATTGTTCAACCACCGGACGTACTCGCGCTGCTCCTTGACGTCAATGTAGTCGGGTGCGAAGACGGCCAGGGCCTGGGTGATGCCGCGCTCCTCGAGGTAGCGCTCCATCAGGATCTGCAGGTCCTCATCAAGGCTGCCGAAGGGGGGGCCGGGGTAGATGTCGCTGCGGGCGTGGGCGACCTCGGCGTTGGAGGCATGGGCGAGCTTGCCGTCCTCGTAGTAGAACATGTTGTCGACAACAATGGCGCCGTCCTGGGCGGTGGCGTCAATGTTAAGGGCGCCGGGGGTCTTGCCGGGCTTCTCGACGACGATGCTCAGGCGGCAGGGGGGCGCGGCCTCGTCGAGATCGCCCTCCTCCTCCTCGAGCTGCTCTTCGGCGTTGGCGGAGCGGGCGCCACCCGAGGACTGGACATCGGACTGCTTGTTGGAGTTCTGGACGTCGGACTCGAACTCCTCGTCCTCGAGGGCGCGGTCCTGGTCGTACACCTCGGGGTCATAGTTGGCGAGGTCGGCAATGGAGAAAGTGATGGTGATCCTGGGGTTCTGTTAGTTTCGCAATTCGTGATGTTGGCCGCTCGATGTCATTGGATTGCAAACTCACTTCTCCTCGCCAAACTTGCGTGTAAGCTTGACCTCCTCCTTGCCAGGGATGTCGTGGAGCTCAAAGGGGCTGTTGTCGATGAAGTCCTTGACGCTCGCCGGCAGCTGCTCGTTCTGCTTCACCTCCTCCTCGAACTGAAGCTCGCTCTCGAGCTTGGCAACGAGCTCGGCATCGGTCTCACCGGTGGCGGCTTTCCTGAAGGCGGAGCTGGAAAAGGCAGATGCACGCTGGGTCTGGACGGCAGCGCTCCATGAGGAGGCCTTGATGAATGCACTCGGGCGGGCGGCCTGTCTGAGGGAGAGGCGGGTGAGGGCTCTGGGCGCAGAGCGCGCGACAGATCTGATGGAAAGCATGGTGGGTGGTGGCTGAAATGTGGTGTTGAGCTGTCGTGATGGTCGGGTAAGAAGAGGTGCAAAAGCTTGTTGGAGGAGGGTGGAGGTGGATTGGCTGCATCTAACAGGTAACAAAAAAGCTTGGGAGAGCTCCCAAAATTTTTGACATCAGATCAGACATCGGCGAAACCTTTTGCCGGGCTGCACTGGCACTGGGCGGATGGGCGCCGCGGCGGAGTGGGACCAACAGGGACGAAGGGGTCCATCTGCAAACACTTCTCGCATTCAGGCACCAGATGGCTACAACTCCACTGCATCTGGAATGACTCCACAGTATACTTAGCACAGGCACTGAGCTAAGCTCTATAGAGTATCAACAGGGTCTAGTCGCCTCGATGCCCAGATTTCGCCACGTGAAGCCGCGAACTTGTCTTTGGAACCAACCCAAGGAACAAACAACACTTTTCGAGACAAGAGGTAGGAAATTTTTCGAGCTGACCCGCAGCTAGGCCTGCCATGCAACGGCTCTATAGATAAGGTATTTGTTTCTCATCCAGGCTACCCCTCCCTTTGTCTTCCACTCAGTGAAGGCTGATGTGCCGCGACGTTGGCGATGGTCGAGGAATGCGACGGACTCTCTCTTTACATTTCCAGCAGTGATTTCGGGTACTGCTGCGGTCGCTGCCAATACCTGCATCACAACTTCCAAAGACGCCATTCTTTTTGGCGAGGAAGCAGGGCCTCTCCGATATGAGCACCGTATCTTGTTGACTGCAGACATTGCAGACACGGAGGTGTGTGATATATTTGCACATTTTGGGCTGCTTGTCTGTAAAAGCTTCTTCTGTCGAACAGCATCAGATGCGGAGACGTGACTTGCTTTGTTGAGAGGTAGAACTTGAAGACTCACAAATCAAATCATCGAAGGGATGGAGAGCAGCAGGTATAACGAGGAAGATCGGCGAGACAGTCAGGCCACTGAAAAATGCAGCAAATATGAGCTTTGACGCGACAATGGTGGTAGACCTGAGGCCTGAAGACGAGGCGATCTGGCCAAATCATATACTCTTAAGATGACCGAACGATCCTACGTGACGGGAATACCCCCCGAGATCCTACTCATCAAGAGCCTGGCCGCCATCGTTGTACCAACAGCATGATGCCATTCTTACGTTAAGCGCCCAGCATCCTGATCCTCTGTCTTGCGACATTCTCAGACGCCGTTCACAACATCTCACTATTGTGTGAAGAGATTTGGATCGAGTAGAGCAAAAGGGTCCATCTCTGACCACAAGACTCTGCAGGCGTGTAACCGTTGAAAGCCTCATAGAGTAACAGACCGGCGGTGTAATGTAGCACTTGGAAATTCGAGGGAAATCTGGGCTCAAGTATGGAATGAAATAATAACGATTCGCGAACAACGTGGTCCCAGCAGCCTGGGGCAGGAGGCTTGGGGCAGATGGATGCATGATCTGGACTGCTTGGCCAGTCTGGGCATGAGAAGACGACACTAAGCAAAGGCGTACATGGTGGGCTGTCGGGTCAGGACGTTCGGTTCCCGGCATCATCGTGACTACCAGCGTGCAACATGGAGACTCGCTGGTTGGCGATCCGGGACGAAGAGGATCATATAACATTAGGCTGCAAGGTTTTCAGGTAGCGTTGCCGAGCCTCACCCAAAGTTTCGGAAGTAACTGTTTCATGCAAAACCGCCACGTTGGCTCTTTACATGATTCTGCTCGGTCTCTGCCGCCCATCTTTGCAATCCTCCCAAAAGGTCGTCGATATGGCGCGATGCCCACGGAGCCACATGCTCTCCACGTTTGACCCTTTGCCGAACACTCTTGTGCAACGGCACAGGAGAGTCATGGCTCAGAAGCCGATGAGCCAGTGATTTGATCATGCGTGGTCTGCTGTGATCCGAGCATTGGCCTTTCGCACCTCAACATGCATCGTTGCTGTATGTAACCGGAGAAATTGTCTTTTGGCCAAACAAGACTCCGATACAGTGCCTGCTTGTCTGAGACATCTCCCGCGAAAAGCTGGCCCTCTATGGTGGCACCGTACGAGGACCGTAAACAGAATTTGGAACCGATGATGGATCCCCTCCTTCTCACAATGAAATCATGATGTTGCTTCAAGACCCGACTTGCTGGCGGCCTCGAGGTCCCCCCAAACGCCGAAAAACGCCATGTTCATGCTGTCAGCTCCCCATGATCTAGCCCTTGGGAGGAAAGCTCGAGGTTCTGACATTTCCGTCGCTCGTGATCTTGACCCAGGCGACGGAGGTGAGGTATGCCCATGAACCCTCCCAGCGGTCGAGGAGGGTGACGTTGGACTGTGTTGTGAGGTCAGGGAGGTCTGCGAAGACGTTAGAATGACAAAAACAGAAACGATGGAAAGCCAGTCGGGACACTACTGACAGAACCCAATCCTATACTCTTCTTCAAGGTTGGAAATCCTCAACTTCAGCAAGTCTTCCTTGGCACTTGCAGGGCGGCCGGCACGGCGGGTTTTCTTGACCTCGGCGTACTCCTCATCGTACTGGTGCACAAACCTTCTGATGTGTCAGTGTTTGCTTAAAGTATGAGGGCTTTTCGACTTCTGAGACGTACTTGCTAATGAGGTCCTGAACGCCGGCTAAGTCGAGGGGTTCAGATCCCTTCTCTTGAATAGCCTTCTGGAAGTACGAGGCACGGTCAACTACCAAATGTAAGATCTCTTGCGTCTAAATTTCATGTCCTCAGGTTATGTGTGGTATCTTACTCATGGGCTGCTCCTTCTTGTTCTTTGAGGCGTGGAGCTTTCCTAGCCTTTGGTCTCTAATCGAGGCCTTGTGAAGGCGCTTGGAGTCTCTGGAAAACTCATGCAGGGCCAGGTCGTGGCCGTTGCGCTTCTTCGCAATGTGCTTGCGGGCCTTCTCTAATGTTGAAGGCATCTTGGCGGTATCTCAATTCCGGAGCGAATGAGACAGCGGGAAGACTTAGTGAGATTTGCGAAGATCGAAGATGCCCAAGGCTGAACGAGACGCAGATTGAGATTTGCGATGGCGCCGGTCTGTGAAAGACGGTCTGTGCCCCACCTGATGAAAATCCCATCCGACTTTGCAGTGCGTTTGCACAGGCATGGGACTGAGAATGAAAAGAGAACGCCCCCACTAAACCGAAGAAGGGTCCAATGGTCTTCAACCAGATCCGGACCGAGTGACGTTGCTCTGGGTGCGGTAGGCTTTACACGCTAAACTCCTTTGAGGAGATGCTCGGCCTGGTCCTTGCGGAGGAAAAAAAAAGACAGAGAAAGAGAGAGTCGCGATATGAGCCTGACGCGGTGCGGTATGTCCACCCGCGTTCCAATATAGCAGGACCAGGTCCCCCCCCGGCGATTCCACCGTCCCTTTCCCGTGCAGGAAGCCGTGATTCACTCCACCTGCACACCTTCGCTCCTCCGACCTCAGCATCGTGGTGAATTTCTGTCAACCTCACTTTCCCCCTTCTCTCAATTTCCAACCCTGCGTCGCGTGTGCAAGTCGCCTTTCCAGAATCGTCAACCTAGCGCTTGCTTTGTTTACATTTGCCTCCGGATCACCTGACTTGGCGCTCCGACTTCCGATCCTTACGCGAACGTCTTCACTACGCGTCATTCTCTCCCGACGAATGGACTGAGCATTGATTTCCCCTTGTCGACCCCGGCTTCTGGCCTGTGAATCGGATCGGAAAGAGACCTAGCAAGATCTCGGGATCTCCAGACTTGCCGACTTCAAAGGACCTGCGAACCGTTCGTGAGATCAACCATGGGCGTCTCAGGTACCTTTTCTCTCCCTTGCTTCGGGTCTGGTGGACTTCCTTGCTCACCAACCCCCCTTAGGCCTTCTTCCGCTGCTCAAGTCCATCCACAGGCCAACCGAGTTGAAGAAGTTCGCCGGTGAGACGCTCGGCGTTGACGCCTACGGATGGCTTCACAGAGGAGCCATTGCCTGCGCCGTTGACTTGGCTAAGGGCAACCCCACCCGCAAGTGAGTGGCCCTAACTAAGCATGAGCTCCGCCTGGCGCTTCCCAGCTATGCAAGCTATGCATCCGTTGATTTGAATGTCTAACACTGCATCAGATATGTCGACTTCGCCATGCACCGGGTAAGAATGCTCAAGCATTTCGGCGTCACCCCGTACTTGGTCTTTGATGGCGACTTCCTTCCCAGCAAGGCCGCCACCGAGGGATCCCGCGCCAAACGCCGTGAAGAGAGCAAGAAGTCTGCCATGGAGCTTCTCAGAGCCGGAAAGTCGTCGCAAGCAGCCCTCGAGTTTCAAAAGGCCATTGATGTCACACCCGAGATGGCTCGCAATCTCATTGACGAATTGAAAAAGATGAACATCTCGTACGTCGTTGCACCGTACGAGGCCGATGCGCAGCTCGTCTACCTCGAACGCCAAGGCTTGATCAACGGCATTCTATCGGAGGACTCGGATCTCTTGGTGTTTGGTTGCAAGCGGCTCCTGACGAAACTCGACCAGTACGGCAATTGCATCGAGATCAACCGGAGAGATTTCTGTGCGGTTCGGGAGGTTTCCCTCACAGGATGGACGGATGCAGACTTTCGCCGCATGGCTATTCTGAGTGGTTGCGATTATCTTGAGGGCATCAACAACATGGGTCTAAAGACAGCTTACCGGATGATTCGCAAGTACAAGACTATCGATCGATTGGTCCGGATGATCCAGTTTGAGGGGAAGCACCGCGTTTCAGAGAATTACATGTCTCGTTTTGCCCAGGCGGAGCTGACCTTTATCCACCAAAGAGTCTACTGCCCAACGATGAAGAAGTTGGTATGTTTGGCGGAGCCTGAGGAAGGCAAGGGTGTGGAGGATATGCCTTTCATTGGTGGCTACGTCGACCCGGCGATGGCCACGGCCATCGCACTCGGAGATGTCAACCCTATTACTAAGGAGATCATCATCCCTGCGCCCATGCCTGGCTCCAAGACAGATGCGAAAAGAAGACACTCTCAGTCTGCCGAAGCTCTTGCGGCTGCCTCTGCATCGTCGACCCGCACGCGACAACCGACCAAGCCGATTGATTCGTACTTTAAAGGCCACCAGCGTATTCCGATGGGTGAAATGGACCGCAACTGTTTCTCTGTCGACCCAGCAAGAGTCGCCGCTCTTACTCACAACGGACTTGTCCCCAGGGTCTTTCCTCTCCCCAGGCCATATGTCCATGGCACTTCATCATCACAGCCAACCGCCAGCTCTCGCCCCACAAGAACCGCCCGTTCCAATACCTCCCCTCGCCTGTTGAGACGACGAACCGAGCCCATTCAGGACTTACCGGAACATCATGCCCCTAGCAGCTCTGACGGGAGCCGCCGTGTCACCGTTGGTGATGCGAAAAACACCCTGGACGACATTGATGCACTGATGAGAGGCGGTTCCCAACGGCCTCCCAAGAAGGTCCGTCTCTGTGCAGACACGGACGTCACCGAAACGAAAACTGAGGAATCCCAAAAGAGCAAGTTCTTCTCCAGGGATGGAAGCTCAAATAACAATAAGAATAAGGACAGCTTCCTGTTCTCTGATGACTCAATCGACGAGGCACTACTCAATCTTCCGGATATCGACGGATGGCATGCCCCGAAGCCCAAGTCAATCGCGGTCTATGAAGAAAGCCAGAGCACAGATACAGGCACGGAAGCGACCACCGGCACGGACAGCCAGTTCAGCAAGGACGAAGAGAGATCAGCCACGCCGCAGACTGATCTGTCTGAAGTAGATGAGACCGAGCCGACCAAGCCTGCCTCGTCGCTTCCAGAAAAGAATTTGAGACGTGCGTCTCTACAGCGCTTCGCCTTCAGTTCTCAGCCGAGCCCTGCCGCATCAAGCCAGCCCGACACGCCGAGCACCATCGCCTCTCCGCACTCTTCAACCTTTACACCCTCGACCGCTGCTCCCTCGACTGCAGCATCATCAATCAACTTTTCAGCCAGCTCAATCGCAGCTGGTCCGTCCAAGAACACTCCGCTTCTCACCCCGCTGCAGCGGATGGGTGCCCGTGCCCTTCAGCGCAAGAACCCGCCTGCCCGCCGGCCCCTGTCTCCTACTAAGAGCACCATACAGCGGAGCCCCAAGCGCAGTCCCCGGAAGAGCCGGCTGCTCAAGTCGTTCCCCATCAACCCGTCATTTGTGCCTCTGCCCAAGGTCGATTTGGCCGAGGTGGAGGCTCTGAACGCGCCGTGCGGGAGCGAAGACCAAATCATCCCCGATAGTGACGGCGATAATGACGAAGATGTCTTTGCCCCGGGCCTTGGCGAGAAGGACGGAGAGTCTCAGCCCAAGGCCCTGAACCTTTCTCGGTTTGTATACAACTGAAACAATTACCAACAAGCACATGTCGATGCGATACCCAATACGTTGTGTCATTATTTTGTTTTATCCACTTTGGAAGCAGGCGTTAAGAGACACGCATCATTGAGGCGCAAGAGGTGTGAGATATAAGACCTTGTCCACCCATGGGCAAGAAACGGCTGTCTACCCCTAAGCACCTCGTCACGTCATTTCCTCTTCATTCACAGAGAAGTATGCCATTTCAAGAGTGGACGACGGTATACAATTGTCACGAGTGACAACGAAGACAAGGTCATCATGGACCTATGGGGCGTATGAGGACAGAAGAGCATACAGCTTGTATCATTATTTGGCATGAGACAGGGTTTCCAGGGCCCACAGAACATGAGAAGCATGCCAAAAGTCGAGAGTGATGGTAAGCCGGGGTTTCTTGTATGTATTGTTTGTAATCACAGGAGGCTACGGAGTTTTTAGTAGTAATGATGGGAATATATCATGGCCGGAAGAACCTTTTTTCTAATTCTAAATGAAACATTTGCCCTGCTAGCCAGCCGTATGCATGGGTTTTTTTGACAAATTTTGGCAACTGCCTTGTGATCAAATTGCAGAATCAATGTGCAAAGCTATGAATTCCAGATCTTCCACCCAACAAGCTTTGCTTCCGTTCCTGATCTTCAACACTTTTTTGCCCCTGCATCACTGGTACGGCACCTTTTAGGGTGGTAGGGAAGGCAGCCCGGTCCATAAAAACAGACGGGCCGGCTCAAACCTTTTCAACCCAAAAAAAAACCTAAAGGAGAGGGAGAAGAAAAAAAAAAGTTAAATCCAGTCTCTCAAAGCCTTGGATTCTTGACTACCTGCTGTAAAACACGTCTCCGAGTTAGTCGTCCTGATCTTGACCGAGAACTCACGTTGCTTGGTATCGTATCTCAACTCAGCTGTAGGTTTAACCACAGATTTCACAATGCACGGGTTATTGACACGACCGGGACCAAAAAATGCATGGTTTTGCCCAAAGAAAAAAGAGGCGCGATGCATGAACCCTAGCCCGCCGTGCCTGGGACACTCACTGGGCGTGTAACCTGAAACCTATACCATACACAATGCTCATGATGCGAAGCAGTCCTCCCTTGCCTCCTTTAAAAAAAAAAAAAATCACCTCTATCAAATTTGGAACACTGAAGTGATGACCATGAGGCAATTGCCAAACCTCCAATGTTGTTTCCGTTTCTGGGTCTAATGCCTTCTTCCAAGTTTCCGCCTCAACCTCCCCCAACAGGAATCTTCCGCGTGACTCTCTCATCTGAATCCGGGCTTCTGTGAGCTATGCCAAGCCCAGAATGCAATTCACGAGTCTCCCGACTCACGTACTCTCGGCGCCATCGGTCATGACGCTGATAGGAAACCAAATTGTTTAATGTAGTCGCTGCTAGTGAAGCTGCGTCCGCTTTCGCTATCTTCATCGAAATCGCGCTCTACCAGGCCCGCGTCATCCATGTTCTCCTAACGACGACTGCTCGTGGCACCGGCTGGTGAGGGACCGTGAAGATCCACGTTAAAGGTCCAGCGTCCTGGTTGGGTCAGCCTCTAATCGATCCGGTTCACATTGCTAACGTACCATTGGCGAGGTTGTCTGCAGTGTCTTCAAGCAAGATAATCCGTCGCTTCTTGCAGTATGACGTCTTGTCCATGATGTCCACTTTTAACTTCCTGTCACAGAGCTCATTGACAGGCTTCTCAAACATCTCTGACAAGGCCTCGACAGCCATCTCGAGATCCTTCTGGTTATCTTCGAAAATTTCGGTCAAGTTGTTGCGTGCCAAATAAAATGCGAAGGCGTAAGTCCACTTAAGAGTCTGCCGGCAGGTTTGCAACGTTTGTGAGGCCTGGTTCAGGTATTGAACCTCAATCCAAGACATGCCTGAGGCTGTCTGAAGTTGCACCATCTTCTTCTCCGTCTTGTGGTAAATGTCCTTGTCGAGCTTAGCGGACTGTTCGTGGTTGGCGTAGCGGTTGTAGTAATGCAGGTAACGCTCCAGCGATATGCGAGATTTAGCCTGCGCATCGCGAGCGTCTGTACCACTTTTCTCCTCGAAGCGATTACAGTTGTACCAGCTCGTACCGTGCTCCGACCACAAGCCCATGCACATCCAGCAGAACTCGTGCTTGCACTTTCGGCATGTCATGTGGTTGCAGCCGCCGTTCTTCTCGATTGTCGAGTTGCACTTGGGGCACTCCTTGGTATTGGCTGATATCCAGTTGGCAGTCTCCGAATCATCTGCACACTTCTTGAGCCATCTCTTGACGAGCTCGCAGGGGGCGGGCTGATGATCAGTCAGAATGCAACCAAAGCAGAAGCGATGGCCGCAACCGCAAGCAACTGTGGGGACAATCCTATCCAAGTCCTTCTTCTTAATGGCGCACTCGACGGCGTTGGGACAATCAGGAGCAGGGCACCACTTCAGAGTTTCCTTGTCCTCCACATACGTCCGGTTCAGAAGCTCGTGATATCGGGAGTTGAGGTCGGATGCAACGAGCAAATCCAAGGACTTTGAATCGATAATGCGGCCGCAGCCCTCGGCCGGACACTGAATGCGAGCAGCCTCGCCTTCTTCGCGGATCTTTTGGGTGAGGTAATGGCGATAGCAGTCGTGGCAATATCGGTGACCGCACTTGAGAGAGAAGGTCTGGAGACCCTCATCGTCCTCGCAACAAATATCGCACACGAAGCCCGGGATAGCTTCAAGCTTGGGCGGGCCAGCCACATTCGAGCCAAGGCCAGCAGCCTCCAAGACCTTGTTGGGAGCGTCCATGTAATCCTCAATCAAACGTTCTTTGTTCCACCTGAAGTGCCGCAACAATATCGCGACGTCCTCCTTGCGGATATTGAGAATCATGTTGACCTCGTCGATCATGTCATCCTGCTGACGTTGAATGTCCTTTGGCTCATAGACCTTGAATGAGATGTCATAGGCCACCTTCTTCTTGCTATCGGAGTCCTTGATCATGCCTAGGTCCGCGTCGGGCTCGTCTTCGAAGTCATCTTCGTCGAAATCTAAAGAGGAAGCATAGTCGTCAGCCGGTGGCTTCGGGGCTGTGGAGTCCCGAGGTGGGTTAGGGGGAGGGGGAGGGGGTGCAGACATACCATCCGGGCCAGACATGTCCTCGCCGCTGTCATCCTGCATGATCTCGTCCTCGCTCGAGGGAGCCGACATGAAGTCCTCCTCAGAATCCATGCCGTTGCTCACGGTGGTGACGGGAGTTGGGGGAGCGTCTTGTTTGGCAGCCGAGGCGATCCTCTTCTTTGTCGCGGTGTCTTGGGTATTGGAGGATATCGTCGCCTCAGCGGCCTTTCTCTTCCGCGTAGTGGGAGGAATGGTGCCGACTGCAGAGGGAGGCGAGGGAAGCGTTTCCGAGGGGGCGGAAACGGGTTGGGTCAAATGGTTACGTGAGACACGGAAGATGAAGAGCGAAGATCACATCCAACGAGGGTTGGGTGTCTGCGTGCCTGGTGGGCGCCGGTCGCGGTGTGGGAGTCACGTTACAGGTGGAAGGGTAGACAAGTTGCAGGTTGCGATGATTCAACGCTGAGGCAACAAACGAGTACAAAGACTGGGAAGAACCGGGGAGGTTTTAGGTGCTGGCTGAGGTATCGGAGGAAGGGTATTCGAGGTCGGGCGGATCAGGACCAGTGAGAGTGGTAGGCGGCAAAAAAAGGACCTGGCCTGGTTGCCTGCGGCGTAGAATGCCGTAGAGTGCAAAGGTGGTGGTGGTCTATGGGTGGTGGGCGTGGGCGTGGGCGTGGATATGTGGATGTGAAAGTGGGATTAGAATGCGTTGCGGGAAAGGCGAGTGACTGAGCAAGTCAGCGTGTGGGATGTGGGTGGGATGGATGGGTGAATGGCGGGCGGGAGGGAGTCGGACGGTTTGGCAGTCGCAGATAGGTAGTCAGAACCAGGCACTGGGCAGTGACTTCCCAAGGTGATCCAGCGGGTGTTGGATACAATGACATAACCGAGACGTGTTGGTTGGACGAGTGCGTGATGTCGAGTGACTTGATTACCGGTGTGCGGTGCCGGCAAAATCAAAGTATCTCGACTGGGCGGGGGAACCAATCCCCCCACTGCGCTGGCGCGGGCTGCACCGTACATACCTTAGGCCGGGGCAGGCCCAAGGCACTCTCACTATCACAAACTCATTCTCACGCTCTCACTGCCGGCTCAGTCTTGCACCTCGAGTGTCACTGGACAGTCTGAGTTCAGCACCAGCACTATCGACGCTACGTTCCAATGTGCCTTCCCCGTGGTCTTGGCCTTGCAACACGCAACCGGGGAAGACGATGGCAAAATCAAGTCACAAGATGAGCAAGATGAGTAAGGCGAGAGTACCTTACCTTCGGTAAGTAAAGGTGTATGTAGTAAGGAGGAGCGGGGGGAACTACCGTAGGTCACAGGGTTGCAGATGCTTCTATTTTGCGCTTCCAGCGCTATCTTTACATCTACAGCCCAGAGAAAGCGATCAGGCACTGATGAAGAAGACGGCTTCAGGCACACGACGCGGCAAAGCACCTCTCCTTACGCTCTCCAATACCACCGGGAAGGAGGCCAGTCCTCAAACTCCTGGGGCCAGATGCAGCCCCGTGCCAGTGTCATTGCAATTGTGCTGGCCAGTGACCGTCTCCGACGGCGGGCAGGTGACTCGTTGGGCCTTGCGGTCCTTGCTCCGGGCCGGAGTTAGGCGATGAGCAGTGGGAGGATGTCGTGGGCTTGGGCTTCATGCATGGCATGACGCTGGGCGACTCACAAAGCTGCCCTGAGCGCCACGGTTTGCCTTCGAGACAATCGCTGTTTGTCGCTCGTCGCTCAATAAGCAGTGCGGAACCTGACGGAACCGCTCTTCGCTACCCTAGGTGCCTTGCCTTAGTCATCTGTTCTTATCGATAGCAGTCGTGCCTTACCTTAGGTGGTAAGGTACCTTACCGACATGGATTCTATTGTTTGCCCCTGCATTTGTCAGGCGGGAGCGGCCCGGCACCAAGAGCCTCCGATATCGCCGGTCGTCGGGGTGTCCACACATGCCCGGATCGGACAACTTTTGTTTCCCTCGCACCGGAACTGCGGGCGGGCCTGACAAATATGATAGTCATTGTCAACTTTGACTTGATAGCTTTGCAAACATGCAAGATAGTGATGTGCGAGTTCGCTGTGGGTCCCCGAGTCAAGTCAGAGACATCGTTTCTTCTAGTGGCTGCCAGTCAGGGGATTGGAGGCACGATTTCTGGATTTGTCCTTGAATTCAAGCTGGTATTCGCAGTTCTTATTGCATCTTTTTTCAACTCGCATGCACCTAAGCCAAGTGTTACCCAAGCTTCCTTTCCTATAACCCGTGCTTCATGGCTCCGGCAATATGGCAACTCAACCCAGGACCTTGTCGGCCAGGGAAACTGTTCGAACTGTTAGCTAGCCCTCAAGAATGTTTTCATGTTCTTAAATCTAACCTGCGGTGCCAATGTTATCGGGTTCGACGTGGGCCTCCTTGACCTTGCCGTTCTCGATAACGAGGGTATAACGCTTGCTGCGGTCGTTGCCAAAGATGGCCTTGCTGTCAAAGTCGACGTCAAACGCTCTGGTGAACTCGCCGGACGGGTCTCCCAGGAATCGGATCTTTCGCAACGTTAGCACTCCATCATGGCCGTGACGCAGGGGAGGAGATGGGAATTCCCCGACATACTCCAGTCTGGGCTGCAGGGTCCAATTGGTCACCCCAAGCCTTCATGCTACTCGTTGGTCAGCATCACATGCTTTTCTTTCCCACGCGGTGCCTCAGGGGGCTGTGTGCCTCGAGACTGGAGTAAACGTACACAAAGGGGTCGTTGACGGAGACGACAAAGACGGAGCCCGCCTCCTTGAGCTTCGGGTGGTTGATGTACGAAGGGATGTGGCTCGCGGAGCACGCGGGGGAGAAGGCGGCTGGCACACCAATAATGAGGCCGTTGGTGACCTTGCTGAACTCCTCGGCCAAGTTGACCTTGTTGCCGGGCGAGCTCTCGACGAGATCGACCTCGGGCACGGCGTCGCCGACCTTGACGAAGGCGGCGGGCGTTGAGTGGAAGGCCCGCGCCGGCACGGCGGGGCGGGCGAGGGAGAGTCTCCTTGCGGCGAAGCGGAAGGCCATTGTGTCTGTGTGTGTATGTGTATGTGCGGTTCCGTGGGTTGAAGCAATTTTACTGCGGTGCGAGGTGATTGTGGAAGTCTGATAAATTTCGAGAGAGGGATCGAGGTTGGATAATGTGTGTTTGTGTTGAATTGACAGAGCTTCTGTTCCCTTGGGGAGAAGAGCTTGGGGGAGCTTGGTCTTTTCCCCAGACGCTGGAGCTGAAAGCTTGAGAGGGGCTGCACCCACTCCCCCAATCCCAATTGAGACATTTGCTTGGCTGAGCTTGCAAATTGCCATGACATCAGACCAACGTCCAATGGCAAACGTTCCCCCTACGTCCGGCCCTTTCCCCCCCTGTGAGACAATCAATCCAAAGGTCCTCCTAACGCGGTCGCGTTGGTACGAATGCAGACTTGTTCCCGAGACTGCAGTGACTGCCAGCCAAGCGTCCGGCCGCGCGCTGCAACGCAAACTTCCAGGTTGTCATGCACGGCACCAATATCGTCTGCATCTTAGCAACCTCTACTTTCTTTTTGTGCTTGCTTACCGAGTGTTTTGAAATCCGTACCACACGCGTCGGTCGTTTGTCATTTGATCGATTGGGGTATCATTCATCATTACGGGCGTTCAACCCGCGGCGTTGCCACCCAGCTCTTACTCTACCTCTCATGACCATCCATTACCATCCATTACTGCCTCTGTTCTTCCGTTGCGCTCTTTCTCATACACTGGGAGCCCTCAACTCCTGCCTCAGACTTCCATCGGCATCTGGAGGGCCTACGTTGTACCGCTTCGACTCAAGACTATGTATCCCGTGTCAACAATACTCAGCAAGACTAAGAGAAGGGGCAATTCGAGACTACAAACCTCCAGGTCAGATTGCCAGTGCAAATCGTCTTGAGCGTCGCAGTCACCCCCCGAATCGCGTCAGCGTCCGTCTGGCTCTGATTGACCAATCTCCGCTCGCAGACGTCGAGTTGCTTGACAGCCTTGTCGATTTCCTCCACGACTTCTCTGACGGCACTCCCCAGGTCACTGCCGCCCTTGCCGTTCCAGTAACGCACCGGTACCGCGTTGAGTGTCCGACCTTTTTGCTGCTCGAGTATTAGTTTCTGGCTCACCTAGTATCATACTTTACGCGAGTATGCTCACTAGTTCCTTGTTCAACGAGAGCAAGTCATTCGTTCTGTTGTCAATACCCGTCAGCTTCGGCAGGTCTCCATTGAGCGGGTTAGGAAGGGCAAAACGAACAGGCCAATGATAATGCTAACCGACTCCAATATCATCTTATACGGCTGCGTGTGGACGACGTGCGACGGCCACTGCAATCCAGAAGCGAACCTACTTCCGTCAGCAAAACTCCTGCGCCTTGGAGTGAGAGGCTCGATTCTTACTCTGCCAGGGCGCACAGAGGGCCAGCGCCCCCCGTCTTCTTGCGAAGCTTTTCATACGACAAGGTCGTCGGCGCTTGTCCGTTCTGGATATACCGCATCTCCTGCACGGTCGAGTCGATGTACTCAAACAAACTGACCCTCAGTCTCCTACGCTGATCTATCATCGCCAGATGAACATAAGTCCTGGTTCGCTGCTCATATCCAGGCGCCCAAGAACAATAACTTACCTTGGTTATACTGCTGGCAAATGACTCTGGCGACCGGTTGGAAACCTGCAATGACGACGTTCGTCGACGCCTCCTTGGGCCCCTCCGAAAGCTGGAGATACTGCGCAATGTAGTCTTTGGCTTTGTTCCGGAAATCCTTGGCCTTTTCCGCGCTCTTGTACTCTAGGCTCTCAATGTGGTCATCGAGTCTGCCTTGCCAGAGCACCATCAGCGTCAAGGTGCCAAGTCTTTCTCTTGTTGCGCTCGGCCAGAGGCTGTCACACCAGTCATCAGCAAGTGCTGGTCATGTGGTTAATTTGGTCATCTCACCATGAGGCTAGGAGAGCCGGGTTGGCTTCCAGGACGTTGGCCATATCTTTTGGAGACGCATCACTGTATGGTAAGCATATCGAAACATCTTTCAGGGCCTGGAGCAACTCACCTTCGCTCGAGGAGGTCGTTGATCAACATCTCAACCACCGCTGCATGAACATTCTTCCCAGACGGCCAGTGACTAACCATTCGGCGCAGGTCCGGGATGACCATGACCAGTCCATCGAGCCGACTGGCCAGCTGTGCGCTCTCAGTATGCGCAGCCATGTCGATGGTATAGTGACCTCGAGATTTGAGCTGGGCGGTATTCAAAGGGGTCGGCTTATCGAGATTTGATTCTTTTTTCGGTCTTTTCTCTTTTTTTCTTTTAAGATTCAATGGATGTCACCTGGCCGGCACTTAGGCTAAAATAACTACCCCCTCAGTTCCCCCTACTTTTCGTTGGCATGTGCGTCTTTGTTTATGATGAGGGTCGACTCTGCTTGCTGGGTTCCTTGGTGTGGAGCATTGCGAGATTAAGTCAATGCCACCTACCCTCGAGGGGGCCTCTTATGGGAGCTTTCGAGAGAAGAGAAGGGGATCACTGATAGTCGAACTTTATTCGCCTCCAGTGAATCATCCGTCAAACAACTTGTCCCGCTGGCTCCTTTTTCATTGATAAATGGGCAAGCGACCGCGCCGTTTGGGGATGGGGGCATGCGGGCTGGCCCGCATGGAAGCGGCCAGGGGTTATAAGTGACAGTTGACGTTCCCGAAACAAGCTTACTTTCCTCACCGAGCCCAGTTTTGTCGGTGAGGTCCAATGAGCGACGGGAACTGGGTACAAAGGGTGGATAGGTATTGTCAATTTCGAAAATTCGTCCACGGGAACCTTTTATCATAATCGAGCATGGCAAGTGCGGTCTACGGGATCAACGATTTCTTGCAGCCGATAGACCCGATGCAACATCCCTGAACCATTCGGCCTGTGTTTGGAAACAAATCCTACCATCCATCCATCGACAACACCATCATCCCCCCCCCAAATGCAACGCTTGCTCCCCTTCGTACGACCGAGCAGGCCGATGCGTGTTGCCCAACATGAAGGGGTTCCCAAATGATCACCGATATCTGGGTTGAATCGCGCCGACGGCTACTGTTCTCTTATCATCCTAGCTAGGAGAACTAGTCTACACATGCAAACACGGCTACCAGTGTTTACTGAAAGCCATCAAATCCAACGGGTATGCGGGTGGTGAGCTCTAAGTGGCAGTTGAGTGATTCACTGCCAAAATAACGGTCAAGCATAGCGTAGCTGGGGTGTGCGCCGGATCACATCCATCCATCCCATCCCATCACGAACCGGCCTGTCGGCTCAATTCCGCCGCGTCCTCCGTCGACACGCCATGTTTGACAATGCAGAACCATTGGCCTTCATTCTTCCAATCGTTTTTATAAACACTCTAGATGTTCCATCACACCCTTGATGCTGTAAGTGTGTTATATATGGATATGCAACACGGAGTATTTGGCCCTTGTGGGGGATAGGAGTAGGCGCAGGTGTGCCATCGCACCGTACTTCGAAGACCATGCCATCTAAGCAGCCCCAAATCATATACAAGCTTGGTCTCGGTCAGGGGCCACAATGCAAGCGTCAATATCGCGACTGGTCCTGGTATAGGGCCAACAATCATCAGATGTCTCACCGTAGCTATATAGTCCACTCGAAGGGATTTTTCCATAGCGATGAAGGCGGACGAGCTCTGTTGGTCTGTCGTGTCACGGACTGAGTGTTTCAACACCAAACGAGAGGAAGGCGCAAGTAAAGCGTCGAAGGGGTTGAAGTAATCACCGACGACTTCTCTGTCATTCACAAGACTCATACGGAGGCCTCCTGCTTCGGAGCAAAGACTCGCTCTGGGAAATCAGTGGGAAGAGACGCAGAGCACCGACTATCCACCCTCCATTGAGTTCTTCGCTTGAGGCTTGCCTCGGCAGAAGCCCAGGAAGGGCCGTCCTCCCTTCTCCCTCGTCTACTTTCAGCAATACTATTCAGAAGACTTTTTCGCGGTGAGTGTTATCGTTCGGGCCTGTAGAACAGTAAGCCGGTCAAAGCAATTCCATCCGCGGTATCTCCGCGGTGCCGTTTAAAGTTATAGTTTCTCCTAATTACGCCCTTCTCAAGCACCGCATTCTCGACATTGGACATCATCCTGTCACAGAGTTCCCAAATATACCCATTCAGGAGAGAGCATACTGAGTAGACCAGAATAATAAGGCCTGCCACCTCGTTACATTACTTGCGATCTACAAAAACATTCTTCATAACCAGACAACACGGTTCACGTAGCTCTTTTATCTCTTCCGGAATATATCGAGATCTGAAGGCTATTCTCACGTCATCCCAGGTGAGAGAATGGGGTCAATGTACATGCTGATTGGAGCACTTTGGTGGCCAAAAGCACTGCAATTTTAACCCACCCCAAGCTCTGTTAACGGCCTTGGAGACATGGCGTCCCCCCCCCCCCCCCTTTTTGAATTGCATTCATAACTCATCTCAACTAGGAAGTCCCACGGCCAATCTATGCAGCCTTCTTGCAAAGCAGGTCACGGGCCGGGAGAGTTGAGTTGTCTGGCGCCAACGCAGTCCTAGATCGCTTCATCATGGGAGCAGACGGAAGAAAACTGCCTGTTTCCAGAAAAAGGTGGCCATCGTTACGACTTTGTATGCTCTCTTATCGCTCGAGATCTTCCAAACGCAGCTGGGGATGGCAAATGGGCATACACAACAACGGGTCCACGTGAAATGCAGGGGGGTTCAACGTCATCAAGATACAAGCAAAGGCATCCAATAGTCCAACCTGAATCTAGAATAAGGGCGCTCAAGTACAAAATGATAACAGTCTGCATCTTGGGAAGACGCTCCAGCATGGTTGCAGAGGTGCCCCTTTATTCCAAGCTCTGCTTCACTCTGAAAGCCACGGAGGCGAAGGGAAACGTCTCCAAATCCAGCCATGTCTTCCGATTCATTATGTAGGGTGAGCAACAGGAAGCAATATTGCTCGCTTCTGTAAAAGATTCCAGCGACTTGGGAAAATCCTCTAGACGCATTCGATCGTCTGGGATTTAAAGAGCTACTTCTCATTCCGCACTCCGTCTGTGGATTCGATATTGATGCACGGCTTTTCATCGATCATGGAGTGATGCTGGTCTTGGTTGAGAGGATGCACCATCCAAAAATAAGTTCCCGAACCCCATCGGAGATCCGAATCCTTCAAGGCAGGTATCTTGATCTTCCTCACTTCAATCATCCCAATGTGGCATATTGGCAAAGCGTAGTCGATGTGGTTGCATGGAACTTGGCCTGTTGAGGCGCCATCGACGAGGCAACCATCCATCTCACGTTCAAAACTGGCTTTCAAAACTCGGTGTCAGTGAGCAACTCGTTCACGGTCATCGCTCATCTCCTTCTTCAAGTCTGGTTTCCCTACAAGCGCGTGCAGAAACAGCCACATGACAGAAGCCCAGTACACACTCACAATTAGCAACGTTTTGACATCCCTGTAATCAACCACTGCCGGCTTGAGATACCTCAGGAGCGCCGCAGTGTCTTCGACATCCGTCGTCGACTTCTCTTTCCCATGCCAGCGTCGAATTGTGACAAGTAGTGGCATTAGATTAATACATTCATGTCAAATTCTCATAACCAGAGCGGGTGTTCATCCTTGGGTGTTTAATTCATGCGTTCCTCTTTACTTCTGAACAGATCTCAAACTCTTTCGTTACTGTACTACATTCTTGAGCCCCCCGCCCCCCAGCATTTCATCTCTCCGCCCAGCTTCATCCAGAGGAACACCACACCGCAAAGTAATGACTTTTAAAAACCTCATCAGTAGACATGATGCTCTCCGTCAAGTCTTATCGTCTTTGCCCAGAAATATGAAACTCTCCCTCAATCCATAGTCCAGCCCCCGCACTCGCCAACTCAATCTCATCCACCAAAGCCCACGACTTACACTCTCCTCCTGAAGACCACGACGCAACACCGCCACCGAGCTTAAGCGCGCTTGTGTACAAACACAATAAACCTCCCAAGTCTCATCACACCACCACGGCCCAACCGCCCATCCGCAGTCTTCTTCGAAAGAAACTTATCAATTCAAAGCCAATAACTCACCAGCTCACCAGCTCACCTCAGCCTCATCTCAACTCGCCTCCCAAACCGCCGCAGCACCCGAACACCATTGCCCACTCTCCACAAGGCTGTAACACGCCAACCAAACCCAATCAAGAGCATCGTCACATTCAATCCCCCCCCCCCCCCCCTTCCCATCCCCTGTTGGAACATTTACCCCTACCCCTCCCGTAACTGCACCTCATCTTTTTCGCGTCAAACCAGCAAAACACCACGACACCTACAAACGCCCCAGCAAACCATATGCAGCATCAACACCCACACATCAACGCCAAAGTAACTGGGCTGCCTGCCCCCTCTTCCCCTACAGGCCAGGCCTGTCTCCCTCTCACACACACACTCGGTAATATAAACATACTACCGTACCTATAGCATGCCATCTATACCACCACACTTGAAACACGAACACAAGAGCGACGCCGCAGACAACGTGGCAGGCAGACTCACGCCATCCCCCTTCCTGAGCTGTTACTCACCACCCCCATCCCATCTCTAACCACTACCTACGCCCCTCAACCTCAACCGCAGTCATCGGATGAAGTATGGCTGAATCGGAAGCCCTGCAGAGCGCAACTTTACAACTGGTGCCTGTGAACGCGCCATTCTTCCACAGAAACAAAAAATAACTCAAAAGTGAACTGAGCTCGTTGTCGGGAGGGAATCAGGAACCATTCGAAACGGGCATAACGAACCGCCCCTCCGGCGATAAAATCATCGTTCAAAGTAAACCCCTCATGGACCCCCTTTCAAACCTTCTTGTGGAAGTCAATTCTTCCTCGTATGATATCGTCACCCATCATCTACAAGTCTTCACAACGAGTCAAGCACGCGATACATCATCACGAAAAGTCAAATTGAGAGAATCATCCACCTTCGTTCATTTCTTCTCGTTCATCTTCTCTACCGTTTCATTTAAAACATGAAGTACAAGGGACAGGACATAAATTCAAAGTCGCCGGACCAGCCGAATACAACTTGCGCTGTCATTGCGCATCAGGACGTGGACCAAATAGTAAGTACCAAAAGACATGCAAAGTGCAAAGACAGCGTAAACCATGAACTTCCTGGCGCCGGCCGCACAAGATAATTAAAA